TTTTTGATATATATTATATATATATATATATATATATATATATATATATATATATATATATATATATATATATATATATATTTGCTTTGTTGTAGTAGATAATAAAGTGCTCAACACTAATATTATATAGGAGAGCAAGATATATTTATATCTTAAAATTACTTATTGCACTCATCTTACTTATAACCTTGTAAGTTTTAGTCCATAGTCATTAGGTCAATTTATCTGAAGAGTGCCACATTTTGTGGTACGAAACTATTTAGTAATAAAGATTCGTAGTGATTTTGTTGATTGTTGTACCTTAATTCATATATATATATATATATATATATATATATATATATATATATATATATATATATATATATATATATATATATATATATATATATATATAGGCCTATATGTATATATATATATATATATATATATATATATATATTTCGTTTTACTCAAAAAACCACAACAATCTGTTTAATCCGTATAGGAATCATCAGGTGGACCACCTGATGATTCCTTTACGAATGAAACAGACTGTTGTGGTTTTTTGAGGTGAAACGAAAAACTATATTACGCTCTATCTATATGGTTTTGAGCACTGTTTGTGTTTCGTAGACCAAAATCTTAAGCTATATATATATATATATATATATATATATATATATATATATATATATATATATATATATATATATATATATATATATATATACATATATAATATGCAGCACTCCTTAGCATTTTTTGAACCAAACCACATTCGTAAAAATGTTTGTAATTACTTCTTACTGGCTCGCCCATTCACAGCACAACTCAGACAACTCCTAAATACAGTATTACCGGCAAATTGAAAATAATAATGCATTTACGTTTCAGCAATTGAATTTTTAAGACGGGTCTTACTCGAGAATAACAGCGAAGCTCAAGTTTGCCTATCTCCCATGAATTGGCACGTCTACCTCCAGAATCATGCTTCTCCAAGACTGCAAATTATCCGAGAAGAAACACTGGTAGTCACTGAAGAGAACAAAGTCATGACACTAGAAGACCTAGCACTACAACCGTTAGAGCTCAGAGTGAATTACGTTCAAGAGTTTATTATACGTTTGCTGTCTTCCTGGTCTGGAGCTGATGTCGCTGAACTCGACTTAAATGTTGGACTACACAAATATGGAATTGACTCAATTGCCGCAACAAATATGAAACTTCAAATAAAAAATAACATTGGTGCCACATTTGAAGTAAGTAATTTTAATATTTTTATGACCGAGCGAAAGCTGCCTCAAAATCAGTCTCGTTCACTTTGGGAAAAAAGAAATACATGAATAGGCCTACTTAAATATTTATTGATAGATGGGGATTATGTTTAAGATATTGCTCCTCACATTTAAGGCTTTTCATTAGCTGGCTCCATCGTATCTATCGGAACTTATTACAATTATTACGCCCGGTCGTTATAATTTACGTACGTCTAACAATGGCCTTTTGTTATTATATCCTCGTGGTAAATCAAAGAAAACGTTTGTGATCGATCGTTCATGGTTGCTGCGCCAACTTTAGGGAACAGCATTGAGCCTTCCAGCCAAGATTTGGGACATAGAACGGTTATCTCAAATCTTAAAACATATCTATTTAAGAAAGCTTTTATTAGAAAATAGATAATTTTCTATTTTAACCATTTCTATGTATAATGTTTTATATTAGTGAACACTTCTAATTTATTAACTATAATTTTGTAATTAAGAAACTGTAGCTAAACTATGTACCATTCTATTTTAATGCGCATAGAACATTTTTATGAATACGCGCAATAGAAATACAATCTATATATTATTACTATTATTACAGCAGATCAGACTGAAGAGTTTATAAAATCGGATTATTTATTGGTGTACGTACGGGAACGGACAAACATTTTCCCAATACTGATGGAAATTGCCCGACATTATCCTGCATGTATTTATTTATAGATTAATAGAAGGAAAGTTGAAGGAACACGTGCATCTCCTATACAGATACACGGAAATTACGTGAATTTTAGAACAATTTATACAAAATATTAATATAAACATTAATAACTTTTGGGATTTCATTCTTTAGATGATACATCGAAAACTCGTTACTCAACTGCCTGCAATATTTGAATTTAATGAAACAAATTTCAATAATTCTGTCATTCAGTTTTTCTTACTAAACATTAATATCTCAACATTAATATTATTTGAGATGCTGCTGCTGCGAACTTGCCACCTTTGGTTTGGTTTGCTAGTCAAATACATGCAGGTCAAGTCGGTTCGAGTAGCCTGTAGGCGATGTTCAGGGGCGTAGCACGACCTTTTTAACTGGGGGGTGTAACATCTAAGTTTTACCGACCCACGCACCACGAGACGCCACCATGGTTGGCGCCGAGCGGAAAATTTTTGAAAATATGGAGTCTCTAGATCGTTGGAAATGGCATTTTCAGAGCCTTCTGCACCTTATACACACAAGGTTTGGTAGCTTTTATTTATATCAAACAAAACCATATTGTTGACGTTGAGTTATTTTCGAAATCCGCGAGAATCCGTCAGATATTAACAAGCTGTGAGACTGTGAGTGTGAGCTCACCGTGAGGTTTTATTAGAATCCGTGACCGCCCCTTATACGCTACATATAACATATACATATACCATAACAGCTATACAGCAATTGACAAATAAATATTTCGGCGCGCGTTTAATTTAATGACACTTACCGTGACTTTATGTCTCAATCAATTCCATGGTTGCCCATCCCCCCCGGGCGTTTGTCGGGCATTCTCAACTGTACTTGTTCCCAGGGTCGGGCATTTGCTTTCTGCAGGTTAGCCCCAGGGTGGGGAATTTGCTCGAGGCGAAAAAAGTCAAATATTTATCGCTTGTTTCGCCATTTAGCCGTACTTTAGTACGCATGTTTATACGAGCGTACGTATCGCAAATTAATCATGGCGGACATACACAAGACTTTTTTCTTGTCCATCCTGTTGATACATTGACTTACTTCTGCAGTTTGATATTGCTATATAAAGTTTTGAGACTTCAATATTTTAATTAAAAACGTTTTAAAACGAAATGGCTATAGAATCGATTTTAAATACAGATATATTGATATGAGATAGAGCTTGGATTCGATTTTTTGGATCAGAAATCCTCAGAAAACTTATATTTTGTCCCCAAGGGTGGGGCATTTGCGTCAATGTAAGTCCCCAAGGGTGGGGATTTTGTTGCCTTCTTTGGACCCCATACTGGGGCATTTGCAACGTTTTTTCGCCAAAATGACAAAAGCCCGACAAACGCCCGGGGGGTTGTTGGGCACCCATGGAATTGATTGAGACATTAGTCAGCCGTCTAGAAATAACGTAGAACCAGAAACGTAGCAAACGCTTTATTAATTGGAATAAATGAATAATTGTTGTCTTTGTTACTTCGCGATAAGTCATTTTACCCAATGACATTTATCTTGTTGTTTATTCTAATGAACAGACTTGAAAAATTGGCGAAACATTTTATGAGCACTGCGTGTCAATAACAAATATATAAATATAATCTTTAATTCTTTTGCGTATCATTGTATCAAGGTCAAAAGTTTGCGCACAGTTGAACATGTCCAATCAGAACCGACTGTTTTCGCAGCTCTTGCAAGTGTAATACGATAGGAAATTAGGGGCTCCAATGAGTAGACATTTAATATAAGTGTTTTAATACTGACGAATTACGTACATTTTGCATAACTTTATTGGAGAACAAGGCACAACATTAATTTAATTTTTTTTATTATTACAGCCATTTACCGAGGAGCAAAATTCCACTTTAACCGATTTGTTTTACCGACCGCTGTCATGGCTCTTGCCATTACCGAATAACTTCGCGTTTTACCGACTACATCACTAAAACTGGGGGGGGTGTCACCCCCCACACACACACACACACCCGCACGCTACGCCCCTGGCGATGTTCTAAAACTCAGTCCAGTTGCTATGATATGCATTGATCTCGTAGCCTTGGTTGGTAGAGCATCGGACAGACAAACAAAGGTCTCGAGTTTGATTACACCGTCAATACAAGCAAACATATCAGCAAACATGTCAAAAAACTTGAGTAAAATAATGAACCCATAGTGACTCAATATATTAAGTAAAAATTACTCAAATTTCCAGAATAAAAATCCCACTCGAAAAACAACATCTTTTTAGTGGGTTGAGACTTCCTAGAAAGCAAAAAGAAACATTTCAGCAACAACGTTTCCTATATTTAGGTGTTATTGATGGTTTTGTATAAACACCTCTTACTATCATTTCTGCATTATGCTGACACTTTTCCTTAAATTAACATTTAGACATACTATTTCATTCAACCAAAGACGAGTGGTTTAACCATTGTCAATGATATCCTGGAACAGATGAACAACAAAAGCACCACTTGTGACGAAGAGGATTCTTCAGGGAATGATAACCAAACAAAAATCTTCATGTCAAAAAATGATACCGAAGACGCAGAGGAAGCAGCTATAGGAAGCAATGAGCAGGAGCTTCAGTCCGTTAGAACAAACAAGGAGAAAGTTGTTCCACTCTATACTCCAGATGACGCAGTTGTGAAAGTATTTATGATTCATGGCAGTCAGAAATCAGCACTTGCATTAGCAACATTTGCACTTGGTTTCCAACAGCAGGTAATTCATATTCATTTAAACTGAACCTTTTACATTAACTAAGTTTTCAACAAAATTTGCTTCAGATCTAGGAACCTTTTTTGTGCTTCGTTAAAATCGTACACAATTCGTCGAGCAATTCGTGATTGCAATAAATATTAATTTTTATACCGAAAGTTTTAGTGATCCAATACTGCATGGCTGCTTTCTTCTGATGCTACAGGATATACAGCATAACAGTTGGCCTCTGTAGCTCAGTTGGTTAGAGCGCTGCACCGGAATCGCAGGGCCGTAGGTTCAATTCCTACCAGAGGACCTTGTGCTGCATTTTTCGCGGTCGTTCCTGGTGAGATCTTAAAATGTATATATTCTCACTTGGATTGCAAACCCTAACATTCTAATATTAATTCCACCAAGTGAAGTGCAAGAATCCAAATTATTGAAATGCAAAATACATGCTGTGTAGGAAAAATTAGTTTTATAATTTACCGACACTGCCATGCACGAAACGAAAATTTCGTTGTCTCAAGCACGATTCGAACTCGTATCTTCTGGTTTCTAAACCGCCGCTCTACGAAGACGAAAGCGTACTTGAAAATTTTTGCCTTCTGCACATTATCTTGCGCATACTGAGTTGGACGCCACTGGTGGTTGCTCAGCGTGTCTTCCCATGTGTCGCTGTTTATGAATACTGATCCTAATTCTTGCCCTGACGCAGAAAAAAACAGCGAGACATGAAACTATATCTCGTCTTTGTCCCTCTGCCTTCGTGTAGTACGAAGTTCACAACGAATGCAGAAGAACGAAGAACGAATGCGTTGTGAACGAAGGCAGAAGAACGAAGACGTAATATGGATTCATGTCTCGCTGTTTTGTCCTGATCATGGTAAGGATTTGGGTCAGTATTCATAATCTGTCTTCACCCCAGACCCTAAACTCAGAATGCGCAAGATAATGTTCAAGACAGGCAAAAGTTGTCAACAACGTCGTCGTCCGACTTCGTTCTTTTGCTCAAACTCTGGAATTGGTAATGAGTCTTATCCAAATAAAGAGCACGAAATATTTTCGCGACGACTCGAAAATTATGATATGACTCGAAAATTGACGTTGTTATTTTTTAGTCTAATTTGAAAGATCATTGAAAACTGTAGAATGCTACTGTGACAGATTTTTGTTTTCTTGCTTCGTTTTGGAGATATTTCATTCACACGTGCAGAATTACTTACTTTAAAATGTTATATAATTTTGTCACTATGAAATAAAAATAAAAAACTAATTTCATATTATTCTAGAATGAAACTTTTCATACATGTGTGTGGTTTGGTTTAATATTATATTGTATCTCGTTTTAGACAAATATCGCATTATATGGCATTGGAGTGGACGATGCGTCATTTGAGAAAAGTGATTACGGCACTGTTTTTACACTCGCCCAAAGATATGTAGATTTTATCCGAAAAGTCCAGCCACGTGGTCCATATTACCTCGGTAAGTAATTTCACGAAATGCTGCTTACACACGTCATAATTGTACGGCCACAGCTTGCTACAAAATTGTTGCACTGAATAAGCTGCCAGTATAGATAGTGATAATAACACCAGAAAATTGTGGATTGAGATGGATTCAACTACCTAGAAAATGCAAGTAAAACGTCGACGTTTCGAGCGAATGTACGGGAAGTCAGTGCAACTAACGACGAAGGACCCTCGCTCCAAACGTCGACGTTTTACTTGTATTTTCTAGGTAGTTGAATCCATCTCAATCCACAATTTTCTGGTGTTAACTGAATCTCAGCTGCTGGAATTCATTGTTGCCAACTTGTGATCAAGTTATCATGAAATCTTGACACGAGGTTGATGTTTAAACGTATTATAATTGTTTTTGTTTGTGGAAACACCACGTAAATTTATTACTGCAAAGCTTTCGATCCGTAAGCCCGGATCTTCATCAGTGCTAATAATATGAGCAATTTTTTAAACGTATTGTCGTCAAAAATGTTAATATGTCACGCTACAATAGAAATGTTGCGAAACAACATCGGGCATTGTGGTAAAATCGGGCATTGTGGGGGGGGCGGGGGCGGTGGGGAGAGGTTCGCGATAGGTCTATTGAGTCCTTATTTGTCAGCAATTACAGTGTGGAGAATCTGAAACAGATATTCCCTGATTATCTTCATCAATAAATACATTAAATATATACTCAGTCGTCGTAACTATAGTCTGACATTTTTATAGCGGGTTATTCCTTCGGCGGTACGGTAGCCTACGAAATGGCAAGTGAGTTAAAAAGAGAATATAATGAAACAGTCGCGATGGTGTTCATGGTGGATACGTTCCCATGGTTTCCAAAAGCCTTGACAAACTGTACTGAATACATTACAAAGTGTGGAGAAGAGAACTTGAAGTCAACAAAAAAGCTTGTGGTAAATATACTGTCATTTAAAATCTGTTATTATACTGTATAATTTATTCCAGTCACTGCATGCGTTTTGATTGGTTAATAGCTTACGGCTACATATGGCAATCAGGCAACGAACAAACTAGAAAATACATGCATGCATGCAAAAACCCTCGCGTTGCTGAATTCCAAACATGAAGTATCATGGTAACACGTTAAAATGTTCTTAAAACTAAAAAGCAAACAATACATCAAATTAAAAACAAAAAGTTACCTTCATTAACGCCATGTGCGTACTGGGCAGGGGCGGGGCAAACAAAGCCAGTCGGGCAATATTCGCTTCACAGTTGGGCAATATTGGCTTATTATAAAAATAAATGGGACAAATTCTGTCAATTTTGTGGGAAATTCTGTCAGTTTTGTGGGAAATATGCTATCTAATAGGAATTTTTCGTAATCCCCCCCCCCCCCCCCCCCGTCGACAACAATTTTGGAAAGTTTCCCCGGAAAATTTTTTTTGACAACTCGGGCACAATCCGAAAAAGTCGGGCAAATTTCTTTCCGCCCCCCTAAGTTTTTCCTTCCCGTACGCCCATGATTAACGCCGGCGACTTTACTCCGTTCTTTTAGACGTCTTCAGGCGGTTTTTTGGCTCTCAAAAAGGTTTTGAAATTTGAAAAATCTTGCAAAAACACAATATATTTGCTGATTTGCAAGAAATGTTTGTTATTTCGCTGTCGTCATTTGTCATACAACAACAAATTTTAAATTTGACCAATCAGTGTTCGCTATTCATGACAATCCGCCACATATTTTGAGATCAGTGAGGATGACCACCCACTCAACACCGTTGGTCACCCAAGCCCGTGATCATTGATGAACTTTAGACTTCCCTAATGCTTTCGTTTCCCCGGGTGTAAATAGCCGGGCGGAATTAGTACTCTCGCCCCTGGCTTACGCCCGGAACGGCGCTCCACGCCGTTGGCTCAGGGATAACTCAATTTTTCTGCTGGCAGATAACTGAGTTATGCGTAGCTTGGGCAAGCTAAATGTAATTTTATAGCAAGCGGCAGTTTTAAATGAAGAAACAACATAAACGAACGGCGATTTCGTGAATTTTTTTGCAAAAGCAGACCTTTTTGACATTTTTAGCTATCGAATCTTCCCTAGATAAATGTCGATGCATCTTTGCCATATTGGTACGTTCTGTTCTGATAAATCGATCAGTTAACCAGCCTTACAGCGATTGGCTGAAGTATTTGAGGCTTTCAAATGCACTTGACACACATGGAAGTTTTTCGTGAGACAATGTGTTTGTCTGTGAATGTTCATTCTTAGATGTAAACGACGGTTCCTAAACTTCCTTTAATCAAAACAGACCGTTTTAAAAATTCTTTTATACCTAGTCAAGCAGCGAAAGTGACGTTGTAGTTTTTAGTGTAGTAATAGTTTAATTTAATTAAGCAACAATGCATTTTATATCAATTGTAAATCATTTGTAATTCAGCCATTTTTGGCTTCGTGTATTGGAAAGTGACGTTGTAGTTTTTAGCGTAGTAATGTATTAAGCAACAATGAACTGTAAATAATGAACTTAGTATTTTATTTCATATCATTTGTAAATAATTTGTAATTCAGCCTTTTTTGGCTGCGATATTTGATTCATTAAACTATCTATCTATCTGGATAAATATTTGTATTTCTGTTTACCAATAAACATTTCTTCATATTTTTTCATTTGCAGACAAGGCAAGTAATCGAAAAAATGGCTTTTGTTGGACTTGGTATAACACGAAAAGAGGTGGATAATTTGTACGAAAATTTAGGAGACAATGATGAAGTGATAACCGCTTTGGAGAATCAAGCTGCTGAAAAGAACTTGAATTTTCCTTTGAAAGACCAAGTTGACACTGTTTTATATGAGATAAACTCCGCTGCCAAGGCTCATATTGATTGGCAACCTTCCAAGGTATAGCTTACTTTGCATCTTTCACTTACAAAATAGTCTACCGACAGACGTACTTTGCTTCACAGCTCATTTTTTAAAAGGTCTTGTTCTTCCATTCCTGGCAGTTTGCCATATATTTACTTAAAATCAGCTGAGATTAGTGAGATCCTTGATGAACTCTTAATTGAATATACTAGTTTGCTGCCTCTCTCTCGGGCTTAAATAGCCAATGAGAATTAGCGCTTTCGTCCTTGTTCAGAGAATATTTTTCTACTTCATCAAATACTTCTACTATTGTCAGCAGATTTGGTCATATATTTGAGATCAGTCAACTCAGCTTACAGTACATGACTATCAGCGATAAAGGTTATATTTTGAGAGAAAGCGAAATGAAGTATATCTCTATTACAGTATATTACTATTCTTCTAGAACCAGTTTTAATTGCATTGAATGAAAGTTTCCACAAACTGCGACAACACGCAAGTCGCAGGATATACGCAAGCCTCTGATGCGTAACATTCCGAGTTCCTTGATATTGCGAAAAATTAACATTGAATAGTACACGTGAAAATGTCCAGGTGTGAAAAGTTGTATTTTGAAGAATCATAAAACAGTTTATTCATATTTCTCAACAGATATATTATGAAGAAACAATAACATTCATATGCTCTGATGAGACCTATCTGTTTTCGCTATGGAAACCTGATATCTGGAAGTCGTTAGTTGAAAGAATGGATTTTCTTTATGTTTCGGGAAGTCATGTAGAACTGCTTGACGAGACTCGTGGCAAGATTTGCGGATCCATAATGATGACAACAGCAGCAATGAAATATCAGTCAGCATTTTCAACATTTATACTCCAGCCGGTGAGATCAAGACCTCAAGAGCGGTTGGCGGAGTCTCTCAAGCAAGGCTTTGTCATCTGGATGTTATCAAGCCCAAGTAAGAGAAATATTTCTATTATTGCAAAGAAATAAATGTCACATAACTATACTACTATCAGTGGGGCTTAGATGGCGCAGTCGTCAGAACAGGGGCTTTTCACGTCTACCAGAGCTCGTGGGTCTCATGTGAAAAGATTCTGTCAACACTCTGCCGAAGTCCGGGTTTTCTCCAGCTCTTCGCTTTCCTCACACAAGAGGAACACATAACTTGTACATGTCACAGAATCTCCCTTTATGTTATTTAAGGTTAATATGAGTGCATGGGCTTGTACAACATTATAAAAGCCCAAGGTGGCGGTTTTCATGTATAGAATAGTGTTCAGATAACTTTAAGTGCAGCAAGAGTCCGCATTTCACCGCCATGCATGTTTGATTTTATTCATAAAAAACTCACGGATCATCACGCTTCACGGACTTGTTCAGCGATTACTTTGATCACCACCACCTCCATTAAGGCCGGCGCACACTAGAGCTATGTGCTTAGCAAAATGTCATTCGTGACTGTTGGCGTAAGGAGATAGCTCTCGTGTGCGGGCGATTTAGGAACGACTTTTGTCATTCGTGCCACTTACGCCAAATATCTAACATGTTTGATAATTTCTGCCTCGCGTGCCAAAATCTTTCCGTGTGCGGCGAACGAAAGCTATCTGCTTACGGATTGTCGTAACAGCGCATGCGTAGTATACGAAAGTAAACATCCAAGATGGCGGCGCAAAATGAATTGCTGGCCGAGGCAATTTTAGAGGACAAACTTACTGGCTATTTCTTTCACCGCACATTCCCTTTTGTCCCTATTTCTAAAATCTGCAGAACTCACATCGTATAAACATTTGTATTCAGGCCAAAGTTCGACAAGTTTGCCCTCTAAAATTGCCTCGGCCAGCAATTCATTTTGCGCCGCCATCTTGGATGTTTAGTTTCGTATACTACGCATGCGCTGTTACGACAATCCGTAAGCAGATAGCTTTCGTTCGCCGCACACGGAAAGATTTTGGCACGCGAGGCAGAAATTATCAAACATGTTAGATATTTGGCGTAAGTGGCACGAATGACAAAAGTCGTTCGTAAATCGCCCGCACACGCGAGCTATCTCCTTACGCCAACAGTCACGAATGACATTTTGCTAAGCACATAGCTCTAGTGTGCGCCGGCCTTTAACCAATCGACGGACATAAAAGTTTACAACTTCTGAATATTTTTTACACATCAAACAAAGCGAGATACGCCATATTTTTATGCAGTTTGATCACTAACTCGCACCAAGTCGTCAATTAAGATTTATGAGTAGTTCAATCCCCATTTGATGGACTGGGTACCATTCGGGTTCGATCAGATTTGAATCCATTCTCGTCCCCAAAGCCATTTTCACTCGGTCACTCTTTATTTATTTATTTATTTAGCTTTGCCAACTAGGGCAGGGTCACCACAACAGCATATGCCAATTACTGTGGGCCCTTTTTAACTAACCCACCCTGTCAACTTTCCCTGTGGGAGGAAACCGGAGTACCCGGGGAAAACCCACGGCTTTCGGCAGAGCGTTGACTTTTACTCTTTTCACATGGGGACTGGGTTCGAGTCGCACTGAGAAGGTACTTAGTGAGACTCGAACCTGCAGCCTCAGAGGTGAAAGGCAAGTGCGCTAACCACTTGGCCACCGAAGCCCCTCAAAAAAAATTGAAAATTAGGCTCTGGGATAGACGACTAAAGGAAGAGATCTGATTGGCTTCTCAGAGAACTGCTATTTCGCAGAAGTTGAGCAGTTTTCGCTGGGCAAAATTATTCTATCAACATATGTCAACACAAATACTTCGTTTCGTCTTAATACTTCACTGTGAAAATTCTTACGGGTGCTAAAGTGTCCCAATTCAAGAGCATGCGCTTTAGAAACTACTGCAAGTTTTCTTACACTTTCGGTTCCGTGTGTCCCAGGGCCTAGGGAGGACGCACGCGGCCGAGAGGCCCTGGGGACGAGGATGATTTGAATCGTGCCTATATATCATTATAATTTCATTCATATGCACTTTAGCGTTAGTGAAACCTTTATAAGTTATCTCGGTTGTTCAGTGGTTTATAAACAATATTCAAATGAAACACATACCTGTCCAATACGTCCAAAAACTCCACAATATCCCCGAAATTAGCGAGCACTTATGTTTGTTTAAAACACGAACTCCCGTGGAACAAAAACTTTGGCCGCGCGAGCAGTTGTAATAGTTGTGAGCAGTTGAAATTATATGATGTATATTAAACTAGAGAAAAACCCATTTCCCCAAGTGTGGAACTGATCTTTTGCAGTTTTCATTAGTATAAGTATTAATGAAGTGAATTAATATTTGTATTCAAAATGCTGAGTAACGGCTCCCACTCCAGAAATCTATTTGTCGATGGTCCCCAATTGAATAATATTAAAAACCAGCAACGCTATAATTGGTGCTTGCTCACATGTAGGTTCCTCAACAATGGTAAAAGGGACTCTGTGGTTAGATTCTGAAGAAACAGTATTTTGTTTTGAAAACAAGGCGCTTGGACGTCGTAAAAGACAAAAGATTTTTCTCAAAGGTAAACTTGGTTTAGAGTACAAATGAATTACTTAAGGTGGAGTTACCCGAGCACAAAAATTGCTGCAACTTGCAACAAAATGTGATTTCAACGCATGTTAAGTAGCAATGTCGTCACATGTTGCCTTGTGATTTGTAATTTTTGCGCAACCCAATATATAGAGAAAAAAACTTCTCCAATCTTGTGTTATGCAGTAGCACGCGGAATTGTTGCATAATTCCAGTCGTTCTTTGTATTGAACAGTTAGGTGAATTGTGCTTTATCGATAAGTACTGCTTTCAATAATCGCATCATCCTTGAAAACACCATGCAATAAAATTCATAATAAAATCTGGACCGCATGGCAGATTTGTTACGTTCATTTATTTTTTTACTCAAAAAATTCCCCCAAATCCTCCCACTGAAATGGTAATAATATCACGATAAATACTGGGGTGTACCTCCGATTTAAGCGTTAGGGTTTGCTTCCTCTGAAAACGGCCGTGGAAATAACTTAGACTCTCTGAAATGTCGTTTTATATACCATTTTTGTTTGGGCGCGGGATTCTGGTGGTCAGACATGACGTGTATATTAGATTTTGATTTACTGTAGATTAGATTCTTTTGAAATTGCGTGAATTGGTCTTCGAGGGCTGCAATTATACTGAACATGATTTGAATGTATTATTACCCAACAGGTAATTTGATGGATACAATTGCCATTTTCAATCATTATGATTGTGCCAAACCACCCCCCCAATCCTTTCGAAGGCTCCTAGTTATTTCATCCATGGATAAATCATGAACTATTTAAAAGCTAGCAGCTTGTTTGGGGTTCCAATTTTATAATATCAATTTATGTTTAAGAACTGAGCAACATCCTTCCAGGCCGAAACGTTGATGCAGTCCGAAAGCACCATGTCAACAAGTCTCACATTGATTCCCTTACATGTATGTTGAACACCAAAGGCAAGCTATACACATTCCGATCTGAAGACTGGGGACAGTTGAAGCAGTTTAACGATGCTTTGGAAGCTCTTTTTGGGATACCGTTTACGCAGTGACAAGTCTGTGTGCAACCAATTATATCTGCTATCAGAGATTTAGCTGCTATACTACATATAATTATTAACTTTAACTTAATAGTATGGTTTTTAGAAAAAGTATGGAAAACTGTAAGAATTTGCATTTTGTTTTCACAATTCCTTCAATTTAATTAACAGAGGATGTTATAAGCAATTAAGCAACGTTTTTGTCAACACGGACTGCTAAGGGGGAACTGGTCGGATTAACAAGGGTGGGTTGACTACAAAATTTGAGTTCGCTATAACTACAGCTACTTCAAAAATATGTAGACAGCTACAACTACTGCTACTTTTGAACAAAGGTAGTTCGCTACTGACTACAGCTGTTGCTTAAAAAATGTAACCTATAACAAATCAACTTACGAGTAGCAACAGTAAACACAAAGCAACATTTTTGTAAGCACTACAGTGTTCAAGAGTGCAAATTGACTATTGAATATTGATCTGCAAAACGTGTCTCAATATTCATGCTATTCTATCAAGTTGCTAATTTTAAAAAGTAGCGAATAGCGATTCGCTGTTTGAAAAGTAGTCAACTACTTGGCTACTTTTAGGCAAAATGAAATGTTTTAAAAAAGTAGTCAAAAAGTACTGGCTACTTGAAAATTGTAGTTCGCTACAGTAGCGAACTACAACTACTCGCTACTACCATCCTTGCGGATTAAAAGCTGTGTTTCTGCCAGTTTGTGGTAATCTTCAACATATGTGACAAAACATAGGACTTTAAAGATTTTTTGTTCTCGTACGCGAGTACGAGGCAAAAGCTGCCAAGATTAGTTATACCAATTTTTCGGTGACGACAGTGTTGACAAAAGCGTCGCTTGCTTAAGCTCACTAATTACGTTTAAAGATAAACATGATATAATCGTATACAATGTCGTTAAACCCCATTCCTAAAATTATAGTTGGCGGAGACGTAAAAAAATAAAATATATAACTAGTAAATATCGAGTGTTTTTTGTTGTGATTTTGTGGGGGGCATCTCGTTCAATAGGGGTGAGAGTAGATGGGATTTTTGTAGATTGAATTTTCGAACACAAATGCTCCTGCTTAGGTTTAATTAAGAGGCAATTTTTTTCAATGTCACGTATTTGCAATGAAAAGTGTTCAAAACCTAAAATCTTTTTGGCGTTCCTCTCAAAATTACTTTGTTTTAGCTTTATTCTCTATAGTTTATAGAGTTAGCAACCTTTTTAAATGCATCTGCCAGTTGAGAAACATAAAATAATAGTTAAAAATTGTCAATTAAAATACAATTATCAATGATGCTTTAAAATTGACGCCATATTTACAGCCATATAAGCAAAACTTACTGAACTTCAGACATCATTTTCTCTTTGGCGTACGTAGTCTAAAATCTCTTCATTTTAACATTATTTTACAGATAAAGCACTAAACAAACTTTTTAAGTTTGTTTACCGATTGAGAAACGTATCAAAAAATAAAAATTTTGAATTTAGTCAAAACCTCAAGTGGTATATCGTTTTTCTGAGTTAATGGATGAAAATGTATGTTGGGTGTTTACTGATTGCTGCACGAAATTTCTAATTCAGACAATTTGCTTCAGTTTACGCCCTTAATACCATTCACGCAAACTTACATTTTTTCCTAAAAAAGCGGCCTTTTGAATCTTAATTATGCTTTGCTAATTTGCACATGTCAGCAAAATGCAAATTAGGTAAATGCATTAAGCATGCGAAAGGTTGATTTTCTGGGGGAAATGAATAGTTAAAGGATTAAACTAAAGCAAATTGTCCAAACAAATTTTCCATCCATTAACTCAAAGTACGATTAAAACGTGCAGAAGCCATTTTTAGTTTGTTGGAAAAGAAACATCCCCCTGGTTTACACAATTTGAGGTCTGAAAAATGTTCCGAAAAGTTTGTCATGAATACTTTCCCTATAATTCCAGTAAGAATATATTCTCGTGATCCACCTTTTATGATCGCTTTATATGAGCTGTTCATATGATCCGGCTTGGATGAATCGTGTCACGAAAATTTTTCCTGGCCTTGCCTGTTACTGGAATCAAACTAAGCTAATTCAACTTTGGGATGTCATTTTGGGATGTCATTTTGAGATGTCATTTTCAGTTGTATCCCTATCAATTGAATTCGCAACTTTTTTATTAAACGAATCAATCCCCGGTTAATAATTAACAGGTTCCATATATAGGAACAGCCCCGTAGTTAAATATTTATGCAAAATAAAAAACCAAAACATGCAATTGCAAGTACATGAAGTGGTATAGTGAATTTGGCGCACTTGAATGAAGAATTAACCATTTTATTCGTGCAAATCAACTTAGTGCAGTTTGTTCATTTTGTTCTGAAAGTAATATTCAGTGAGTAGCTGTCCTGCTGAAGGGTTACCGTTGGGAAATAGTTTTAAATAAATAATTTTAAATAAACAAGTCAATTCAAGCAAAAGTGACACCTAGACAGATAAAGCAATTGGCATATTTTATTAAAAATTAGTTACTGAATGTCAACTACGAGTTAAAAATTGTTATCCCGTATCCATCTTATGAAAACACGTAAAGCTAATTATAGTTATGGCTTTAAATTTCTAATAATGTGAATGTGGGCCAATATCAATTAAGGTCCTATACAGTCATGTAGCGGCTATTTTGCGGCTATTAATCAAGGTAATATTCTGCTATAGCTAGAAACCTTTCAAGAGCTTTTTTTAATTACTTGTTATTAATTTATTATAAGGTTTGTCTGTGCCAACACAGACAAATATGTTAATTCTGAAGCTTGGCGCGGTCATTGGTCAAGTAGGTAACAACAGCAATTTTAACTAAAGACAATATAAAATAGTGAAGTTGCTCGTTATGGAAGTACAAACGGTAAGTTCAAACAATGTTTTCACATAGGTATAATAGTAATCGAAAAGAGTCAAATGTTCTCGCAACTGTCTTTAGTTTGAATTTTGATATCGGGAGAATGGGATGCAGGGAAGGAAAAATGGCGGATTGTAGCTTTTGTAAAATTAAGACAGATTTTCAGAAGTCGCGAAATGTGCAGGGGAGTGGCAAAATTTGGTAAACGTGATATTATACGACAGTATAAGTTTCTGCATGATTTACTGAAGGAAAATGCATCACAACATCTCTGAAGCATGATGTTTGTGATGTTACTCTGAGTGTGTATCCCACACGCGGGCAAGCTGAAAAGTTTGCTTGGCCACGGTGTGAATCGAACCCGCGACCTTTGGGATACTAGTCCAATGCTCTGCCAACTGAACTACGCGGTCAAGTCGGTTCGAGTTGATGATATTTCGGAACTGAATCCTAGCTCCTTCCATATCAGTGTATTCTAAGATATGATATTTGTGTGTGTTGGTGTTATGTACTCAGGTGAATATGATGTTACTCTGAGTGTGTATCCACACCGGACAAGCTGAAAAGTTTACATGACCACGGTGGGAATTGAACCCGCGACCTTTGGGATACTCGAAACCGACTTGACCGTGCAACTCAGTTGGCAGTGCATTGGACTAGTATCCCAAAGGTCGCGGGTTAATACACACTCAGAGCAGGGCGCTGTAAAACACGGGCGGTGAAACGGCTATGGCGCCCCTGATCTATGTGTGATGCAGGTCCCCCCCGCATATTTTCATTTTTATTCGAATTCGATGTGGTTTGATCAGGCATGCATGTTTGTTTTGACTTCTTTTCAAAATTACTACGTAAAAAGGTACAATTCAAGCTGAATTCACAATGGATTTGGGATCTGTGCTATTACTATAGACAAAATCTTTTTTCCGGATTCTTAATTAATCACGGCTGATTATATGGGGAATGTTGTAGTGTAAGATATATTAAAGTCTGGGATCTCACTCACGAGGATCGATTGTTTTTGCAAAACAACTTCGTTCGTTTTATATAAGATGAAAAAAAGACGAAGAAAAAGTTTTTTAAACGGCTGTTGTTGTAAAACCTGCAACTGGAATGTGTGTTTGGAAATCAGGTATGTTCAATCACATGTATTTTTGTCAAGTTCCACCAGATGAAGCGCCATAAATTGATAAAAACAGCAAGTTCTTTTTTTCAAGCGATAGTTTGTTGTCGCAGTTTTACAAGCGCGGAAAATTTTTAACTTTTAAATATTTCATGCACAACATATGAAAACTAGTTTTATTTTGATGTTTTTCTATAACTTAAGTACCTAGTTTTCTGAAAGTCACCAAATAAAAATGGGCTTTTTTAATTTTTAAACATTTTTTGGCCTTGTTTTTGACATGTGAATGCCAAATCTACACATGAAATACAAGCAAGCGATAGTTTGTTGTCGCAGTTTTACAAGCGCGGAAAATTTTTAACTTTTAAATATTTCATGCACAATATATGAAAACTAGTTTTATTTTGATGTTTTTGTATAATTTAAGTACGCAATTTTCTGAAAATCACCAAATGAAAATGGGCTTTTTTAATTTTTAAACATTTTTTTGGCCTTGTTTTTGACATGTGCATGCTATATCTACACATGAAATACAAGCAAGCGATAGTTTGTTGTCGCAATTTTACAAGCGCGGAAAATTTTTAACTTTTAAATATTTCATGCACAATATATGAAACCTATTTTTATTTTGATGTTTTTGTATAATTTAAGTACGTAATTTTCTGAAAATCACCAAATGAAAATGGGCTTTTTTAATTTTTAAACATTTTTTTGGCCATATTTTTGACATGTGCATGCCAAATCTACACATGAAATACAAGCAACTGATAGTTTGTTGTCGCAGTTTTACAAGCGCGGAAAATTTTTAACTTTTAAATATTTCATGCACAATATATGAAACCTAGTTTTATTTTGATGTTTTTGTATAATTTAAGTACGAAATTTTCTGAAAATCACCAAATGAAAATGGGATTTTTAAATTTTTAAACATTTTTTTGGCCTTATTTTTGACATGTGCATGCAAAATCTACACTTGAAATACAAGCAACTGATAGTTTGTTGTCGCAGTTTTACAAGCGCGGAAAATTTTTAACTTTTAAATATTTCATGCACAATATATGAAACCTATTTTTATTTTGATGTTTTTGTATAATTTAAGTATGTAATTTTCTGAAAATCACCAAATGAAAATGGGCTTTTTAATTTTTAAACATTTTTGCCCTGATTCAGTTTGACATGTCCATGCCGAAATCTACACATGGAATAGCATTGCCTTCGACTTTGCGTTTTTGAAATCTGACACCCTATGAAAAAAGCTGGAAAAAAGTATGTTTAAACAAAAAAGCCCATTCTCATTTGATGATTTTCAGAAAATTAGGTACTTAAATTATCCAAAAACATCAAATAAAAGCTAGGTTTCATATATTGCGCATGAAATATTTAAAAGTTAAAAAGTTTCCGCGCTTGTAAAACTGCGACAACAAACTATCGCTTGCTTGCATTCGTTATGGCATTGTGTAGATTTGGCATGCACATGTCAAAAATAAGGGCAAAAAAATGTTTAAAAATTAAAAAAGCCCATTATCATTTGATGATTTTCTGCCATGGTTTTGATGTCCCACAATCGTGAGGCATCAAAGGTAACTGTAAATAGCAGTTACTTTCATCCTGCTCAGCGGCACTACACTGATGAGGCCCTTAAGGCCGAAACTGTACCGTCTTGTAGTTAGATATCGCTCTATGACCTTTAGGTCATATTGAGCGCTCTACAGGATGAACCATGCCGCTTACGCATTGCGCACGCTCACTGCTTGCTGTTTGAGCGCTCTGGCATGGTTTTGATGTCCCACAATCGTGAGGCATCAAAGGTAACTGTAAATAGCAGTTACTTTCA